CCATCTGGACTGCGGGCTCTCCCCTGAGGAGGAGGGGCAGTGGCTGAGGCCTGACCTGCACAATGAGCATCTTGTATCTTGCTGGGCTACGGGGTAGACTCTGAAGCTGGGCTGCTTGCTGGTCTCTGCAGAGGCCTTCCACTTGGGAGATGAGTCCGCTGTACCTGCCCCTCCTAACACATGGCATCTGCTTATCTGCGTGGGGGAAGAGACTCTGAGGTCAGAACAGATAGGGTACGTCTGATTCTTGTCAATGATGGGGTCCAGAGGTTTTAGATGACTTCTATTCTCCGCCCCCAACTCTGACAGGTGGCTCTTTCCCAAGAGTGATCCAATGAGCAGGGGCCTCTTTGAGCACTCAGGTTCCAGGGATGGGGACTACACTGCATGGACGCTTTAAGAAACAAAGGCAGGGCCCTCCCTGGTGGCCTAGATAAAGTCCCAGTTAGTGCTTATCCCTGAGGCTTATCCATGAGCAGCCAGTGGGCAAGTTATGGGTGCTCTGGTGCTACAAGCAGGGTAGCAGCTTCCACTGCTGCTGTGCTCATGGTTTCTACCACAGAGTGGTGATGGAACTCAGCTAGTCAGCTGCTCAGGACATCCCCTGCCCACCCCAAGCCTGGTGCTCAAACCAGTGAGTAGTACAGTTCCAGCACCGAGGGAGGCCCTGGTCTAGTCCATGGCCCAGCTTGCAACACTGGTGCTCACTGACTTTAAATTTTGGCCTCATCTTCTGGAGCAAGGCCAGGTGCTCATGTTCCCCTGTCACCCCATCCTCCGATCCGGCCAGTGGGCCATTTGGGCAATGTTCCAGGCTTGGGAACTGTTGGGCCAACCCCAGCATAGGAGCCAGTGGGTCCCTCTGGCTTTCCATCCTTCTGCAAGCGCAGCTGCCAGCCACCACCCATCCACTTTAGCAAAAGAAAGGAGTGCAATTTCGGTCCTTCCTTCAGCTTAGACAATTATTGGGACATTAGCCAGGGCACCTAATCTGCCACCTCTGCAAAATGGGACTAATCATCCAGGGCTGAATTAAGGTCTGTGGACAATGCAACTGGCCAAGGGCCTGGCACAAGGTGGGAAACACACTCTTTGAGGTATGAGACAGAGGGACAAGCAGAGGTAGGATGTGACAAGTCACAGCTAGTCAGAGAGAATAGAAGGTGATGTGGGGAGTGACTCTGGGAAAGGTATGGGCCTACTGCCAATGGGGC